AAAGAAACTGGCAAGGATTAGTCTTGAGCGTGAAGAGAAAATTGCTCGATCAAAAAATGTCAAGCAATTTTGGAGTTTCTGCAATTCTAGGCTTAAATCTTCAAGTATCATTAGTACTATTATTTCCACGTCGGGAGAGCAGTGCACTTACGACTTTGATAAAGTGGAAGCCTTTGCTGAATATTTCGAAACGTTTTACAAAAGCTGTTCCCCATCACGGCATGAAAGTTTTGCTGTTACCTCTAATTGCTCAATTGATTGGATCGACATCAACTACGAAAATGTCTTTCGCACCCTAAAAGGCCTTCCTTTGCACTGCTCCACCTCTCCTGACGGTCTCCCATACATATTTCTCAGAAAGGCAGCTTTGGGACTCACACCCGCCGTAACTTGTTTATTTAATCGAATATTGCTCAAAGGAGAGATTCCAGCCATGTGGCATTTAGGCTTAGTTCGACCCATACATAAGAAGGTGATAAAAGTCATGTGAAGAATTACAGGCCTGTATGCCTCACAGCATCACTGAGCAAAGTTATGGAGCGAATTGTTTGTTGCAAGCTTAGAGAGTTCCTAATTTCTAATAATCTGATAAGCCCGTGTCAACACGGTTTCCTTCCAAAGAAATCAACTTCCTCTGCACTCCTTTCATCTATTCCTATATGGCAAAATGCTATTGATAAGAGGAAGTCGGTTTTTATAGCATACATAGACTTTTCTAAGGCTTTTGACTCCATACCGCTCCCCTTTTTATTTGCAAAACTAAGACAGTTGGGTATTTCTGGCTGTCTTTATAACTTTTTGAAATCATTTCTCTCCAACAGAAAGCAAACAGTTGTACTTAATGGCGTGCGTTCTCGAATTTACAGTACGGAAAGTGGAGTTCCGCAAGGCACTTGTCTTGGCCCTCTAATGTTCACTTTGTATATTAATGACTTGCCACAATGCCTTCCACCAAATGTGTGCTGCTTGATATACGCTGACGATGTCAAGATCTTTTGCATAGATGAACCCCACTTATTACAGAAAGCACTGGATTCCATTTCCAAGTGGTCACAAAAATGGAAGCTTGACATTTCCTTGAAAAACAACATTTTTACGGTTAGGCTCCTTCCGTCCAATGAATGTTTCATTTTCGATTTGTGGTACAGAACTCAAAGAAGCGGAAACAGTGCGTGATTTGGGAGTACTCTATTCACGGTCTCTTTCTTTCGAAAATTATATTGACAAAATTGTTCATTTAGCTAGTATATAGCACTTATGTATATAAATGTAATAGTGTAATAAAATCAACAGCATAATAGATAATATATCGGAGATCAGTTCACTCGCAACTTGGAAAATCTCGTAGGACTTTCGTGAGTATTGTAGCTTTCTCAAGTCAGAGGCTCCCCTAAAGATTTCCTTACATGATGAATACATGTATGAAACATAGGTCCAATTAATTTACAGCAAAAAGCTCCTTGTTCCTTTGAAAATATTTTTTTCAACAAATGTGCCCCTCAACTCCCACGTATACGACTCACGTTAAGCACATAAGTGGACATTTGACGCTGTCGACTCCGAGTACGATTTTCTCGAAAAAAACAGGTACGACCGTCGGGTCTGAACAGACTTTGACCCTGCTTTCGACCGAGGCCGGATTGGTGTTAGACATACAAGATACGGATATGCGTCGATATAAATGTCAGAGATCTTTCCCATGTTCGAATGAATCTCTCTTCATAATGATCCGCAAACATGGAGACAAGTTGAGCTTGAGAGAAATGTACTGTTACCCTTTCGCGTTCTTCAACAACGAGCTCATATTTTGCATGAAAGCTGTTTGGTGATAAGCTATCACTAACAGCCAAGCGATGCGCCTTGTTGGCTTCTTTTTGCTACTGGTGAACGAATTTGCACGCGGTAAAGTTTTTTATGGTTTGAATCATAAATGATTTCACAACGGATGGTGAGGCATGTTGTTGATTATTGCCAAAACCCGTCAAATCACTAATGACTCCTTTTTCTTCATCGTTGTACCGTTCTAGCTTTTTCTTGAACAAATTGCACCTACGATAATGATGGCCATAAAAGGTTCGACAAGAGTACAGTCTTTGTATGTTGGGTAATTGTTTTATGATGCACATAAGAGGCAACACCTTCCCCTCAGCTTAATTAGCTCGAAAAGGGTCGATAAAAGTTGCGGTTCTGATTTCTGAGTGTTAGCTTTCGAGACCTTTCGGAAAAACCGAATTAAAATCAATTTCATGTCCACGATCCAAAATCTTTCTCCTTTCAGGAGTTCATTGGTTTTCCAAAAGGAAAGTAGAATTCGCTGAATGTTGACATAGAATCCTTGGAGGACTGATCTCGAAGGTAACTGAAGGCACATCAAAGACTAAAGAACTCTATCCGAGAAATCATGGTTCTACCTCACCCATAATTCACTGGCTTCATTTCATACGATTACGTGCAGACGATTAGAGAACGGCGCCTGGCTCGGCTCCAAATCCCAAGAAAGAAGGTGAGAGCTCTAGGACTAAGCCTTGGAGGGAGGAGGGACTCCGGAGTGGGTGAGCCATATACAATGTGGCAAAGTTTGAATGTGTTCGATCACAGTAATCATAAGCCGCTGTTTAACACGTTGACGACAGGCTGACGCGCTTGCGCTCCTTCTTCTCGAGTTTTTGTATTCATTCTATAGATAATACATTAGCATAACTATAAACCACATGGCAGCCAGAGTGGTCAAATATCCCTTGATTTAGCAAAGATTTTCTGAACGCACAAAACTTTCATTTCAATTCTTTCCTAGTATTCCTTTCACTGTCGTAAACATTCATATGAAAGATTGTAGAAGCAGTTAATACAAAACTCTGTGAGTTTCAAGATATTTGTATTTGATGGAAGAACTTAGGTATAAATGCTTTTAACTTCATTCGCAGCGAAAGTGATGTTTTTTGCTTCTTCGTGGTCATTATGCGTTCTTCTAAACAAAAATCTACTGCTATTTATATAGTTAACCTTTATGCTTTCATCCTTGCCGAAATAATTCTATGAGATTCAAGTTGTTGTGCATTTTAAACAAAAAATAAGCGGAAGTAAGGTGAGGACGGCGCGCTCGCAAAATCGCTCCTGTCCCACGCGGTGCAAAATGCCAAAACACGCGATGTCGTCAACGTGTTAAACGACAGAGCGCAGGCGAGAGCATCAAATAGGGGGTAGTTGAAGAACTGAATCAAGTTGTTTGTAGACCATTTCATTCCGCTCCTTTGGCGCCGCGTGACCTATATACCTTCGACTGCAAAAAGGGTGATTTTCGTAAGTTTGCTTCTCTCCGGAAATTGAATCTTGCGTGCGTGAAACTTTGAGCGTTGCCTCTAGTGATAACAGCTGACTTATTCACGATAATGCTTTAATTTTCTGGTGAGCATACTTTCAAATTTATGTGGCTATGGCATACGAATGTGAAATTAAAGGTGTGAAGAGGACCGACACTGATCAGGGAATATAAAGTTTATATATACAGGTGAATCAATGGAAGACATTTTGCCTATGTCGGACTTCGGCGTTTTTTCTTCGCAGAGATTGCTGTCGTTGACGGGAGTTCCTCAGCAGAGTATTCCCTAAGTGTTCCTCTATTAGTGTACGCAGGCTCTCCTTCACTGCCCTCACCGTCTTCAGAATATGACGTCATCTGTCACCGTCGTCAGGCTCAAGGAGGTCTACCGTAAGAGCCTGAAGCTCTTACGCAATTTCGTGAATCGATTTAATGTTGGATAGTTTTAGAGAGAGATTAGTTATGAATACGCAAACCCCCATCCAGCTGGAGTTTCAGAAAACGTCGTAATAGTACTTGATCCTATCAGGTATCATTTGAACGGGTCGACAGAACGTCTCTTTCACTCTCCAACGTCATTGCTCCCCTGTATATATCAAATGTAACACATGGGATCAACCGTAGAAACGCAACGACACTATAAAAAGAACACGAGAGAGTACGCCACAGGAAAAAGCGCGATTTCTGTTCGACCTCAGAATCCGAACTGAATCTACATATTTCTCTTTCCCATTCCATGCTCGTACTGCCATATCGATACTTTTTAGGGAGTGCAGCCTGATAAGTGTCCGAAGCGGTTTTCAATTTGTTACCGAGACATCCTACTGCTATCAGATCAGCTCTAAGCTGTACTCAGCCGCTGATGCTGCTTCTTACTGCGGTACGCAAGGGGCTCAGTTGGCGTCTCTGGTGCTACAAGCAGAGATGACGGCACTTTTGAGTGAGTTCATATATTTTTACATTACTGTTAGAATTTTTGGTGAACAAGCTATCGATGGAAAAGTGGGTCAGTCGTACCAAGTAGTACACAAACCTTTTGTTAGTTAGCTCTTGCGTCCAATGTGAAAGACACAGACTGGAACGCGGAAATCTTATTTTGCAACGAGGACGGGAGCAATCCTGTTGCCAGAAATTTTGGAGTCAAACACATGCGCACAATCACGTCTATTAAAAGTTCGTGTAGAAAACAAACAGGATTCTTAGTTGAGTCTTAGCCTAGTGACTATGCAAGTTGTTGAGTTTAATGCATTAAAATTGACCATAGGAAGTGTGTTAAGCTCAGATGAGTCCGTATTTTTATCCACAGTCCGATATTTCGGATAAATCTTTGTGGTGGCGTGTCGCGTGGAATCAGAAGGCGGGAAGATTTGGCTAATTTTTTAATTACACTGTGTAAAATCACAATCGTTTTTTAGACCTGCTCCTCAAGATCTGAGAGGACCGTGAGTATTGGAAATTGTATAGGCATTCTACATTTCAGAGCTTACCAATGGCCATCTTCTCCCATCTTGGGTAGGAGCGGTTCGAGTCTCAAATAGTACGTGGAGATGGAATGCTGGAGGAAGTGTTTCAAGCACCTTCTGGGCAAGAGGTGAGTTTTTCTTGACTCGAGGCTAGGTACCGACTGCAATACATACGCCCTAATTATATAATTATTGCCCCTGAGAACTTGCTGAAATCTCACAAATTCGCATGTATAGAAAAAGTCTTCCACGTATAACTACCCTCTGATCTGCTTTCATTTAGAACCTCCCGTTGCAGATGCATCATCGAGTCGCCTCCGCGTGAAGATCGCTGGAAAAAAGAGGCGATCGTAATGTTCTTGGTTCAGTGTTGTGTGTGATGTGGGCGGATCGCCTTCGGGAGAGCTGCATGGCTGCGGCTGCAGAGGTACTGTAACGAGCGGCTCATTTGAAAGTGCTGAGACAGAAGATAGCTATGGTCGCCTGGCGACTGCGGCGGACCCGCATTAATACAGTACAAGTCCAATAGAAAAGCACGCGAATCCAAACAGTCCAGACAATCCAAATACAATCACAATCTCAGTTCATCTTTACGTTGTATCTTATCCTTCTTTATATTATACCAGATTAGTCCCCCGTCAACCGCCGGGACCTTCCTTTCCTGCGCAAGCTTTCTATCCTCCGCTATGGTCCCTTCCTCCTGTGACACCAACACCTCCTGGAAGTGACGCGTATGCAACACAATGGTGTTTCATACAGTAGAAGGGACACAATCATGATATGACGGTAGATTTTTCGCTTCCCTTCCTCATCCTCCCTTCCTCTCTCCACTGCCCTCCAGCTGCCACTGCAGCACCATGTGGAATGAACGGAAGTGTGCTAAGCAGGTGTTTATATAGCCCTAAGAGTGTTATCACAACTATCCTGCTACAAAACATTGATATCTCAAATCCTGTAAGCTACCCGATTTGTTAGCGGTTTGTTTATCCCATGAGCTTCCTTCTCACTCACTTCATTTTGCGGACGGACACACATACATACATACACACACACACACACACACACACACACACACATACAGATACACAAACCGACACACAAAGTTAGCGCTTTATATAATAGAAGGATATTGGATGATTATTATTTATCGTTGGTAGATTGGTAACTGCATTTTATATCCATGTTGTTGTGCTTTTCCAAGAATAAACATGTGCAGCAAAGCTTCTTGAATGGAACCACCAAACCTCGCTTGGGAAGTGATGCGGCCAAGAAATGGTGCATCAGCTTACAGCCGCGTCTTATATTACAGCGGAGCCATAATGATTCAGAATATTTAAATCCCACCGAAATTCCATCACTTCTGCTATGTTATCTCCTCCTGTTGGTGATTTTTGCGTCCGAAACATACTAACGGGGAAGAAAAGAGGTAAACAGGCAAATACTTGCATAACAAGCAAAAGAGAAGTGTACTTCAGTCGGTTCGACTACATCGCCACCCTATTTCTGACATGGGTTCTGACACAAATGCCGTCTTCCATAATTTTCATCCAAAAATGAAGTTCGAGTCTCCCTCTCGAATGGGACATTAGTCCGCGAGACATCAAGTTTTTCGAAAAAGATTCGATCGCAGGACACGGCTTGGTAAAAGTGAGTATTCTTTTGTGCCACTGTATTTTGTTTCAATCCAAAAGTAACGAGGAATCCTTGGAGCTCTTCTGAACGAGCGACCGGACTTTGGCTCGTCCGGGCTGACACGCGGCAAATAGTGCGGCGTCGCTGCGCGCGGCCATCCGGACGGGGCAACGCTAGTCTTCGCGGGCTTCAGCAGTGAGAATTTATAAACGTCAAGTCGTGTGCATATCACGGATTTAACCCGCAAGGTTCTGCTACTCGAATTAGGAGGATAGCAATGATGGTAAGAAAACGTAATTTGGAAAGGAATGAGGGAACATAGCGATAAGGGCGCTCATGTCCTTGGGAGCAGGGGGGGGAGGTGTCTGTTGAGGACATTGTCAAATGACGGGACCAATTATGTGCACGGCGTTGAGCCTCAAAGAAGGGAAGGAATTCTGGGTAAGGAATCTCGTTTTCTCCGCTTTCTTCTCTCTCTTAGACTAGTTCTAGTGTCACCTACTATCTGCCCTGTTTTGAATGTCCCCCTGAAGGAATGAGCCTCGTGGTCGGCAAGCGTGTGCAGTGGCCACTGAATACACAGACAAAGGATTAATAAAATCAAACTCTAATTTAAGTTTTTCAGCCGTGAATGAGTAGTGAACATTTTTAGGCCGGGGTCTCTCTCCTAGGAATCTACGTCACGATCAAATCGCTCTGCCAATTACATATCAAAAAGTCTGCAGCCGTGACCCTGTAATGCTTTCAGACCGCAGAGAACCATGACCAGAGTTATCAAGCAATCTGCACACACGATTGAAGCCGTGGTTGAGTTTTCGTATTGCTGCGCTAACAACCCGCAGAAAGCGCCTCGTCCGAAAATCACGCGCATGGCCGCCCGCGCAAGCGACGTCCCAGCTCGGACAAGCTCAATGTCCCGCACCCCTTTTGAACACCGTTTCATGTGAAACTATATGAAGAAATTCGTGATCTCGGCGTGAATCTGGCCAAAATCTCGCACGATTGCTTTGTTCAACGGTTTTTGCGACGGCCCGACTTTTTCAAGGTCCTACAGCAGTTTTTATTACACTGTCTCCTTGAGAAGTGAAATGTTGCCAAAATAAAACGTTTCGTGAAACAGAACTGAAAAAGTGGTGGAAGAACCTGAGGTGCAGCCATAATTTTGGGGCATCGGCTATTTCCGTTTGTACAAAATAGAAAAACTCCTATGAGAAAAATTATTGGAACGAATTTCACTGGCCCTGCAATTCCGCACTTATCTTTACCTTAAAGGAGGAATTCACGATTAGAATGAAGGTCGAAGAAAGGGAAACTGACCTAGTTGAGGGACCCACGGACCTCCTGAGGGTGCGAACTGACGCGCAATTCGCATGGAAAAATTTGACCTCGGCGACCTATCATGCCTCAAAGCTGGCGGGTCCGGCGATCTCCGCCCACCGATCATCTGATCACTCGCCGTAGTTCAATACGTGGCGAGTGATTAGATAGCTGAGAGAGCGTAGTGTTGAAGAGGGCACAGCGATGAGAGTCGCATCAATGCTCGAATCAACGGGCAAGGAAGGGGTCCCATTTCTCGGGTTCTGGGCCGTTTCTCATGGTTCTTCCTTCTTTCGTGTACCACTCACCATCCCTAGGTTAATTTGAAATGGGTTGCTTTTTCGTGAATTCGTGAATTCGTCCTTTAACACACTGTTACATTGGAGACTTTCTCTCAAACATTTAAATTTGTGAAGTTTTGAGAAATTCTAGAGATTTTGGGGAACTGTCAACCACCTTCAAATTTGGTCATAGTTTAGATTGGTGATGATTCCTGTATCTTTCTCTGCTGAGGGACAGTAGGACGACGGATCGACGCGAATTCACACGCATGCTTTCGCTCTCGTCAACTCAAAGTTCTACAGGTTTCACCTTCATGCGAAGTACAGTTATACATTTTTCAATCTTTCTTGGTGATAACTAAAAACAATAGATTTTGGTGGGTTTGCTATCCCGGAAGCCCCGATAAGACAAATGAAATGCGTTTGAAACTAGTTCTTAAGGTTTTATCTCATACAATATGTGTTTTTTTTCTAATAATTCTGCTGCGGATAAAGGCCACTTATGCGATGTCCCAAAGCTACCGTTGCATGTATTGCCTGTATGAGTTTGATCGAAGAGATACTTTGGTGGGCAGCAAGAGCGACGTCCGTCACTTTACCCCACTCTGAATTTTTACCTGATCACATTTCACTATTTACTGAATTTTATAATAAGGACCAAAAAGTAATATAACCATAGTAGAAAAAAGCGCCATAAATCAACAGAGGGATCTTCGAGCATAGGTATATAACAATTGACATAATCCGTAATTTTTAAAATTTTTTCTCAAATTTTATTAGATTTTTTTTCACTACGAAATCCCCTCCCGTCAAGTTCTCCGTTAGCGCAGCAATGCCAATTGGTCACTTTTGTACGACACTCTCCTACAAGAAATCGATAAACACGCAACGATGATCAATTAGACATTTCAGGCGAACCATCTACTATAGGCGATGTGCGCCACATTGGCGTTCTGGCACTTCCTTCTAACCTGGTATGGTCCTCCGCTGTCGTGCTATTAATCAGCAAACCGCGCACTGCTGCCCAACGATGAAGCCCAAGCTGTCAGGAATGCCTCAGAATATTTTTATAGAGTGTTGATAGTCAGGGAAGATTTTGATTCGATTTATTGAGGGCCTTTCTTCAACAAATCTCCAAAGGGAGTCAGCAAATCTCTGCGTGCTAGCACTCCTCATGTGGACTATTTCGCTCTCATTGAAATTTTTTGTTATCTTTCTCCAGCCTAAAGGATTATTGGACACAGGAGAAGCATCGGTTGGCACATTTCAACGAGAAATATGAAATTCCGTTTTCTCTGTAGCCTCCTTTTCAACGAACTACAATTTAGGTCACAGATGGAAGACTTGGAATAAAAGTTCTAATAAGGTAAATATTTCAGATGCAATGATGGCAACTTCGGTGGTCCGAATATTCGTTCTGGAACCATCACTAGCCCTGGCTTCCCGACCCAATACTACAATAATCTCGACTGCTACTACCAAATTGAAGGTAAATTCGACATTCTCATCATTGCCGAGTGATCACAGAGTCGGTTGTGTAAAAACCAGGAAGAACTTAGAAAGTTTACATTTCAAGTTGCTAGCAAAGCTCAGTTGCGTAGTAACGTGCTTAGGTGAAGACCACAGCGCCGTCGTATCTTTTTCCGGTCACCCGGACTCTTGCCAGTAAATTATAGCTTGTTGGCGGAGTCCGCCAATTTCGCCGGTGAGAACCACGCTAACAGGTCACATTTGATTAACCCTCTTTCCCTGACCTTTATCCACTTTTTCCCGGTTTCTGCAACTTCTTTGAACGGAATATGAGGATTTGTAATGAACACTGCCCAGCAAGCATAAGCTCCTCCTACTGAGGGCTGGCAGTCGTTTAGTTGAGCCGCGCTGGAGACACCTTACGGTTAGATCCAAATTCCTCGGCCGATTTTGTTATGCCCCAAAGATTTTCTTCTAATGGAATTATGATATCCTTATTGTGTAACCCAACCCAAGAACGTTCCACCCACCGCGGGCGAAATCTCCAATTCCAGTTAGCAATACCTTTGCTCATTACACCCGGTCTTTGAAGAATTCTATCACCAAACTTGAAATTTTTGTCGTCGCGGTGCTGCCCAATTCTACGCGTGCCTC